TCCATTCAACCCTGTTCTGCTATGATACTTGTCCATTTAAATATAATAGTATAAACTCTCCATGGTCAAAAAAAGTCATATTGTTCAATGGTTTGACATGGTGCAAGCATATTTGTTAGTGATCAATAATTTATTTATTTTTTTTAGCCTGTGTAATTTTTTAAGTTGTTGAACATAACAGGGTTGAACATGTGAAAACAGGAGGTTGTGTACATACACACTGTGTAGCAAATTGAAATAGCACATATTCACAAAAAAAAAAAAACCTATGTTGAAAAAAATATACAGACATTTTTAACATTGCTCTGCACACAAGACTCTGCAGTTGTCGGTGATATCCCGTGGGTACGAGAGAGGACGTACCAGTCGCTCTCTTCTCTGTATATCGCTCCAATGTTGGCTTGTTACATACCTCCTTTTCTACATATTTTCTTGTTGGGTTTTCTGGCACATTCCTTGGATATTCTTTTGACTGTAAAATGAATAGAAGACTACAAAATAACAGAAGGCTCTGGAAGAAACGTTTGAGGAGAACATGCAACATCGTCACTCCCCCTCCCCACAAGAACAACAAAGAGAACCTGTCCAGAGCGTTAGCTGGGGTGCTTTGTCTTTTAGGCAGAAAATATTCCAAAACAGGTGGAATTGATTTGCTGCACCCTGGAACACAGGAAGCCTAGTTTCACATGCACTGCTATATAAAACCCTTTACAAGCACAAAATAAACTCTTCCTCCTCACAACTTCTGCACCGCTGCATCACTCCAGGTTTTGCGTGAGAAATGCATGGCTCTGTTGCACGATGCACCAAACGTGCTTTGACAACAGATGCAAAGAAGTGTGCTCTACAACCTTGAAGTTTTTTGACTTCAGATTAATTTTAGCAACAAAAAGCTTATGCAGCTTTCGATGACACAATTGGATCTGTTCTAAAACATAGCGCACTACCCGGACAGCATTTTACCGCATGCATCAGAGGTCTGTTGGTTCCAAAAGGTAGGCAGTAACATTATGCTGGCTTTTTGGATATCTCAAATCTCTAAAATGCAGCAATGCATTTATCCTACAAAGTGAAGGCAATCCCAGAATGCACTGCACTGAGCTCACTGAAAAATGGTGTACTCCAATATTTGTGTCTACTATGCCTTATTCTGCTTATTAGAGTACTACTGTGTCATTAGTTTAGCAACTTGCTAATGTTACACTCAATTGAAATCAATTGTCAAGTCTCCCATGAGCTTAATGTGAGGAGTGTTGTTTGTGTGCTTACTTTGTGTGCTGTATTTCAGTAAGGATAGGGGGTGTAGCAACCATTTTTATGTCATCCTTTTTAATCCACCCCACTTTTTGGGAGATGCTGTAATCATTGTCTTTTAAGAGTTTTGTTTAGCTTGGCTACAAAACTATAATAAAAATGTAGCTAACCAAGCCTCAGGCAACTGGCAGCGATGGATACATAAACAGCACTTGGTAATCCTGCTACAGCTAGCACCAATTGAAAACATCTTTTTTGAGAGTTTTATCTTTGAGCTGGGGTGGAATCTGCAAATGCAAATTTTAAGCAATGACAAACAGCATCTTTGCTGCTACATAATGTGACCCAGGCATCGATTTCAGGTTCAGTAGTATTTTTCTGTGCATGCGCACACAAACTGATACGGCTCTTTGCATGCCCTCATAATGAACTTTACGCATTCGTAGCGTCAAAGTCTCCGCTTTCCTTCAAAGTCTTCTAGCCTTCTCAAGCGTGTACGCGTCCTTAGATGGCAGCTCACTGGGTTTTGGAACAGAGCTTGCGCTTTTGCTTTCAAATCTGTAAGAGTTTGTAAGAAATGCTCTTTGTGCTGGGGAGATATTTGCGAATGCAAATGTTCAACTTGATCACCAAATTCGTTTAAAGATCTTAAGTTCCTGGAGACAGGCTTTGAACGTTAACAGAAGAAAGTGGGACAGTAAAGGGTCTTACATGGTTAGGACTGATGCCACAGGCCTCTTGTGTTCCAGAACATTTTTGCAACTCTACAAAAGGCTCATTCTGGCATCAAGCAAGCTAACCTCGGATCGCTAATCCCCCAGAACAGTCAAGACAGTGAGGAGAGGGAGTTGCACCATGATCATTACATCAAAACTTCATGTCAGATTAGAATCTGAGCTCTTACATTAAAAATATTATTTTCTCCTTGATTGCTTTCTTCTAGCTTTCTTTCTTTCTTTCTTTCTTTCTTTTTGGTTTGCCTTCTTAAACAACACAAAAGAGGAACCCATAACAGTGGCATGGAAGGGAAGAGTTGATGGAAAGACTTCATGGCAGATCAAGTCAAGATGAGGAACGGAAATGGTGTACACAGACACGACATGCACCAGACAACAACTCATGCTTCAAACACAACACACAGGAAGTGACAGAATGTAATAGCGAGAGGCTATTTTTTCTCCGTTATACCCGACACACTCACCATCCTCCGTTGGAACATAGATGTTTAGATACAAACAATCCTCGTTTTGATCTTGTATGTAAGTGGCAACTATATCCAAGTTAAAGGTGAACCAGATTGGCATCATGATCTCCGGAACGGCGTTGTGAATGTTTTGCGGGCACACCGGTGCGAAATGAGTGGCGTTCTTGATCCCCGACCAAGACAGGGGCGGCTCAGGGGGAAGGAAGCGTTTCTCCCCCATCGGCGGGGCGGCATACGGCACGCCCAGGTACTGGTCCACCGGTCCCAGGATCTCGCTGGGCAGCGGGACCCGCGCGCCCCGTAATTTCCCATACTGCGTGTTCACGGTGGGGTGGTAGCTTTGTCCCCTGATGAGCATCACGCACCAACAAAAAATCCATATCCACAGAGAAACGTCATGAGCCCTGCCATTGCAGCAGTCCTGCTGATGCAAAAGGAGCCGGTTTTTGCGCACCGCCAACCACATGGTCCGTAAAAATGCTAGATGCCGACGTACACCGAGAAACTCCTCCAGCACGTGTCTCCTGCCTTCAGACCCTTAAACTCAGCCGGATTACTCCTGTCATTGAAGAAAAACACATACAAGCGCCGCTCCGTTCCTCCCCGGAAGAATCCTTCTCATTCGCTGTACAGTATTCTCATCAGATCCTCTCTCCTGCAGGAAAAAAAAAAAGAAGACAGGAACATTTTAAATGGGACCGTTTTTATACTTTTGTTTTTTTTTTCCTTTATGCACATAGAACTGAACACATAAATATGACAATGCTCTTGATGCATCCAAAGGCCTGCACAACTCATGCAAATAAAAGCTCTACTGCAGGTTGATTTAAACATCCCGACACTCTCCAGAAACTGGGTGGTTCACAAATGGCGGATCATAACTGATAAGATTGTAAAGGATAAACATAAAATGGAACTAACCATTTAATCCTGCATAGTTAGGATAGCAAAATAGTAACTGCACCCCACTGATGTCAAAGCATGTGTGTTCAATTAAACTCGACAGTATTTGGTTCATCAGTTATTTGGTTAAAGTTAGCCGGTAGCTAAATTAGGCAGATGCGAACATGGATAGTGGCTGCGTCTGAAATCTGAAGGTAACAAGACACATCAATCCAATGATCGTGTCACATCCTATCAACTGAGATACCTTCTCAGATATAGATGTGTCCTTCACTGCCTATGATATCCCACTATCCTGTGCTTTTGATTCTGTGAGCTAAAAAGTGAAATTGGTGGCTGGTGGTTAGTTTGTGTATAAATTAATTTTTTGAACACATTTTCTTTTCTAGGGAGAAATTAGTATTGTAGAAATTAAATATTCGCTTAGCTCTCTCTATTTTGTTGCATTTTATTAAACCGTTATGCTGCCGCAGAAGTCTGTCTGAAATCAGTTTTGTGAGGTACCTTCTTCGTGCACAAACGCTGCCTTTAAAGTCATTGCCTGATAAGGCAGCGAGGCAACAAGTCAGCTGCCTAAGCTTTCGGACGCAGCCAGACTGTGACATTCTCTCATCTTCAAGTTCCACAAACAAATCTGTGCAAGGTATAGAAAAATAAAAGCCAGACTACATTTGTGCCAACCAAATATTTAAACAACAAAGAAAATCTTGAACTAATTACTAGGCAATGGACTTGTTACTGTTAAGCTGATAGTGTTCTTAGTAATATTTATGCATTTAAACGTTTGATTTTTAAGGTCATTTTATTTCTTTTGTACAATAAACTATTTTGGTACCATGTTTATGGCCTAAAGCAAAACCAGTTGAGAGCTACTCAATCAGTAAATAAAACATACTGTATGAGGGTTTCCCATCAAGCCAAAATAACAACATCTCTGTCCAAATTCGACAGAAATGTGTTAAATAAAAGATTTTTCAGGCACAGGTCCCCTGTCCCCATCTCTGGAAAGCTGGTATTTGTAAGTGGCTCGCGGGTGCCTGTGCTAACACTGTAAATGCTAATGATGAGGAGGGTCGTCCCCAGCGGAGAGAAACTCTTCCCTGCTCAGCTACTGATCAATTTTCAATTTGTAAAGCTTAAGACCCTCAGACCTCCATCCCTCGGAGGGCTTGGAATAATAACAAGGAGAAAAGCCGGAGTTTAGTAGCAGATATTGCATTCCAAAATGACTCTGTAAATGATTTATAATGTATCTAGTGGAGCAGTATCCACCAGACGAGAGGCAATATGAATCTTCCTGGAGGTGCACGTATCACTCCACAAATCCTATCCAAACTTGGGCTGATTTGCACAAAGCCTGGCAGGAAGTTCTTCATCCTCCACCTCATCATCCACACACACTTGCTGCTGCCTGTAATCGACTGGTGCCTGTGGACGGTACAGCTGATCTCCAGAGAGAAGAGCGGAGCAGAGGAATTGTCCGGCCCAATCTTGGCAGACTTTAAACATACATTTTTCTCAAACTCATGACTTGTCCTGTTCAGTTATTACTCGACTGAGAAGTGATTTTAACAATTGATTTGGGAACTAAACAGAGCTGATATTTTTCCCTCCAGCAGACGTGTTTAAAGAAATTAATTCTTGTACACTTAATGTAGATACACTTGGTCAAGATGCACCATGCCATGTTCATCCATGATGATTGGCTATGATAGCAACATTTGATGTCACAGATGTTAAACCTGTTACAATGCATCTTTAAACAATGCATCTGAATATACAGTAGGCATGTTGGAAGTGTAAAACCATTATTTTGAGCAAATAAGAGTTTGCAATTCATTTAGTTTCTCACACAAAACTATTGTATTGTACTGTACTGTCTTGCACTTTTATGATACGCTTAAATTGTTGGAGCCCCCAAACCCCACCCTACCCCACCAAACATTATAGAACATTATAGAAACTCCTCAAATAATTTTTGAATAGGCAAGCACCATTCAGCTTTTTATGAAAATGTAAAAGCCTAGTTCATGAATAATTCAGCCAAGCTGCTGCTATGATCAGCCAGGTTGATCCCGGTCAACTACCAACCCCTTCTCTCCACATTAAAGTTCCCACTTGTCTAAAACATACAACTTCATTGTCCCTGATGTGGTGAAACCAGGCAGCGTCCAACACCTGAGACCCTGTTTCCAGTTGATATTAAAATGCGATTTTGTTGACCTAATCACAAGTGTTCCGCCAAGACGCATTACTGTTTCCACCCGGTATGAACATGCGTTTCAAATGCGTCTCCTGTGAACACTTGTGGTTGGAATTCAATGAGACCCTCCCCTCTTATTTTGTCACACTCCACATCACTTTTATGGGAGCGCAAAGGGCTCACATTCAGGGACTCACATATTAGTGTTTATACTGTACACAGCAGCATGGTTATGGTTATGTATTTTGTGTGTAGCTACAAAATAGCTAACACTTAACAGCCTTGCAAACATTGTGCATTCTCAGCTGCCTGTCCTTTTATCTGCCAGTTGCTTTTCCACGTTATAATGACAACACACCTTAAAGTCTCATTCCTTCATGCCCTTAGTCACATGGTACCTGAGCCACTGAGATCAATGACAGATAGCGTTCTCCAGGCCGTATTCTAGAAAGTAGAGTTAACTTATCAATATAACTTATATAATATCAGTTATATAAATATAACTTGTGCGATAATTTTTTAAAAACTTGCAACTAGTTGCTTATTAGCATTAGCATATTGGCTTTTTATTAGTACTTATAAAGCACATATTCTGCATGACCATATCCTACATCCCTAATCCTACCCAATACCTAAACATAACAACTACCTTACTAACTATTAATAATCAGCAACTTAAGTTGATTTTGATTGTTTCCATTGTCCTCGTTTGTAAATTGCTGTGGATAAAAGCGTCTGCTAAATGACTAAATGTAAATGTAAAAGTCATAATTAATGGTTTGTAAATAGTGAGAATTGGACCTTAAAATACATTTTTACCATTGTTTGTTTGATGCTAAAACCATAAGATGGTTGTGCAATATATATACAGGCAGAGGCTATTTGCACTAAGTGTAAATAGCTATAGATTCTATTTACGCTATGTTAAAATAGCAAGATTTTCTGCTATTTATACTACTTACTGCAAATAGTGGCAATTATCTGCACCTCAGTATTGTAGTACATTTTAAAACAGTATGTAATAATAACGTATTGAGTTTAAATGATAATTTTCATTCAAATTATTAAATGGATGCATTGGGACATACCCGATACTTTATTTTCAACTTTTTTATTATTTCCTTCATTTTTATTGAAAATAAATGCCTTTCTGATGTGAGATGAGATCTGAACAGGAAGAAAAAAAATTCGGCAAAAGGCAGGTTCGATCTCGGGTCGATCACCTCAAAAGGAACACACCTCACTAGAGACACCACTGGAACTTGTGGTGTCTTGTGGGCGTCTTTTGTAATGTTGTCTAGCCCAATCACACATTGATGGGCGGAGTTAGTGTAAATAGCCTCTGCCAACAAGGTGGGCTATTTGCACATAGTGTAAATAGACACTCCGATAACTGGCCATAAGCTGTTTTGCTAAATTCCTATAAAAATGCAGGATAACATGATTTGTATTGTACGGTTCTTCAATAAGAATACATCTTGTAGTAGGTAATGTAATACTGACTATTGAAGAATGACTAATAATCGGCAGCCAGATGTTTCTGTTGTAGATTTGATTAGTATTCTTCTACATTAAACTTTATTGCACACCTCACTGTCGAGACTTGTGAATCTCCGTCCCTGATAGTGTGAATTATGACCGTTATGGGAGTGTGCATTGGGACTCATTGTCAGCAGCCAGCACATATTACACTGCATAATACATGGTCACCATCTTAACACCTTCTGTGGGAAACACAGCACAGAATATGCAGAGCTGTCGTCAACATTATCCTGAAACTAAAACTATAGATAAATATAGCATATTAAGTCACATTCTAACATGGAAGTAGGTAAAAACTCACAAGACAGGATTTGCAGCACATCAGACCTACACCCACGCTAATTCAGCTCTGTAATAGATTTGTGCCTAAACCTTATGTATTTCAAGTAAAAGATTAATTACTAAAGACTGAAACATGATGGCACAACCTGTATCTCCACCTGAAAATAAAATGGAAAGGGCTGCAGAAGACAAAGCCTAAGGGAAAAAAACCTTGGTTTCCTGGTTCAAATGGGCATGACCTGAGGCTCCAAAACTATCAACTCAACATAAAATCACACATGAAGGTGCACAAGATAACAGATGAGACCCTGACTGTGTGTTGTGTGATAACACCACAGGACAATGAGGACTGTATAATAGAACGCCTGGATATGTGATATGAAATGTGCAGAGAATAACAAAAATAATAACATCAACAGAAACAACTTCCCAGTACGTTTTAAATTCAGTAAGTCTAATGGTGCGTTTGCACCGACAGCGATTTGCAGAGGCAAAGCGATCAGAAGTCATTCATTTCCAGCGAGAGCTGGTGATTTGAGCAGACGTGAGTGACAGCTACCGTGAGCAATGCAACACATCTCGCGTCGAGCTGATCAGTGTCACTCGCACAAGAGCAGTGACGTGATGTGGTGACTTTGAACGTCTTCATCCTGGCAACCGTGCCCTGATTCACACTTCCACAACGACTGTCATTCACACCACAGGGAGGTTTACTGTTATAGTCT